ATACGTTTTTTGAGTGTTCAGTGACTTATTACACTTTTTTTCGTTCAGTGATCTAATTGCATTTTCAGGTTACGTTCAGTGGCCAATTTAAACCTTATTCTTATTTTGTATAATATACATTCAGTATACAAATAATATATTTTTAATATATTAAAAATGTATTTTTTTTTTATGATTTACATAACACTGGCTCTCAATATATCAATCTTGACTGGAACTTCCGCTGGGGTTTGGACACCTAGGCCATGTGCCATAATTATGCCATCAATACATATGTGGTTTGGACACCTAGGCCACGTGCCATAATTTTGCCATCAATTCATATGTGGTTTGGACACCTAGGCCACGTGCCATAGTTTTGCCATCGATTCATATGTACAATTATGCGGCTCGATGTTATTTAGTGCATTGAAATCTAAAACTGGTTAATGCCCGATAATAGTGGATCGTTAGGATTCTAGCTATGCTTCGACAACCAATAAACGATCGTCAGTCGTTATTTTTGCCAAAAAAGACAACCAATTGGTTTTCTTCTCTATGAAAACAACGACCGACAACCATTCATCGATCATCAATTTTCGCATGAACCCTAACAACTCGTTATCAGTGATTACTAACCGATTTTAAATGTTAATGACATGTTGATATGCTTAATTATAACTTTTAAAAGTTTGGAAATTTAATTAACTTCTTGTATAAAATTCATTAATGTATTTCAACCTCTCCCTTTAAAAAACAAATGTTTTTGTAGCCATTTCATCAAATATAACTATACATATAAATAGAACAATGAAAGGGTAACATATCAAGTAATAATTGGCGCACAATATAATATAACTGTTGATTTGGGAATAACCAATGGTTTTAAAACATCAAGAAAAAATTGCAATAACATTTTGCTAAAATATTTCAAGTTTTAAAGTGTAATAAATAATACTGTAAAATGTATTAAGCAATATTATTAAGTGCATTCAGTGATATGTTAGAGTTTCAGATATTGAATGCACATTTATGTATCATTGAATTAATTTTATAATTATTTAATTAATTTGGTGCATCTTAAAATTGTGCATGATGCATTTACATATAATGTATTTACATATAAATTTGGTTTAGATATCAAATGTAAAAATCTTACATATATTAGACTTAAAAGTAAAAATTATATTTATTCTATTAAATCAAACATACCTAAAAGTACTTTAAATATAAGGTTTAAAGATCACTCGAAATTACACTTAAATTGTATAACATTACTTTAAGAAATAAATTTGAAAAAATGAATGTTAGTAAACAAGTTTTCTAAACAAAAAACATAGAATGGCTAGAAAATTTTAGAAAACAGAAACAATTTTTTGAAGTAAACGAGCCCAAATTCACTGCTGAAAATTATGGAATTTTCGACCACCTAAAAATGATCTTAAATCAAGTCGAAAGCCTTGTTCCGACCACTTTTGGTGTCCGGAAAAACTTTTATAGCTATTTCTGATCACTTTTTTACTTTCGATTTGATTTAAAATCACTTCAGGTGGTCAGAAATTCTGTAATTTCCAGTAGTGATTTTAGAATATTGTATACAATTTTGTTGGTCACATTCAAATAAAAATTGAATTAAATATAACCTATATCAAGTAATTATAATTAATTTTATTATTATTATTATTATTATTATTATTAATTATTATTATTATTATTATTATTATTATTATTATTATTATTATTATTATTATTATTATTATATTCACGATGACTGCTTGTCCCACAGTAGATAGGATATGAATGTTAAAATTTTAAATTCAAATTTTAATGACAAACAATAAATATTAATATACGTTTTAAATCCGTCTCATTATCCTATCATCCTTGTATTATACGGAGTAAGTTTGTAACTACCAATCATATTTAAGTACATAGCCATCCTTGCTATTAGCGACTTGCAAATCACGTTTATTGTTCGTTTAACCCAACTACACAAAATTTACAAGATAATAACTTCACTCTAGAACCCTAATTCCATGTCTAAGTTTATTGAAACAAGCTTAGAAAAGGCTATGGCATTGGTTGGCACGTCTAGCTAAAAAGTTAGTTGAAATTAAAGTGTTTGGTAAAATTAATTGTTGCAAGAGTTAATAAGTGTAAAGAAATAAAAAGATAAACTAAGATATTTGGATGTTGATTAATGAAGGATAGATGATGTCATTTTTGTAAATTAATAAAAATTAAAAAAAAAAGTTAAAAATTAAAAAGAAATGAACTTATTTTGAAACGCTCCATAAACTAGCGTTTCAAAATAAACTATTATTTTAAACTCGCATATTTTACCAAACAAAGCTCATAATTTATTTGTAGCTTAAAATAAGTTATAAGTTCTAAAATAAACTCTACCAAACAGAGTCTATAATGGTAGAAAGTTAACCTAGGGGTGTGATTGAGTAAAAATGACTCATTCATCCTTAAGCAAATGTCAGGGGATCAAAAAGGGTGCCTATAACTCAGCACCTACTATACAATTCAGTCAGGAATTAGTCATTGTATTCGACGATAAAAACTTTAGATTACACCCCAAAAAACATAATGATAGAAATCTGCACTCTTCCTTCGTCTCAAACCCATCTGACCTTATGAAGTCAATTAAAGGAAGAGGGCACGCACTTGAAAAATACAAAAAGTACTTTAGACTTTATGGTTTCCCACCACTATTGCTAGTGTTGGATGGTTGTTGAGCCCGCACGGACAACTAACTGATAGATTGAAAGTGAGGACTTAATACAGAGTCTTAATAGTTGTACTGTGAGAGTTTCACTCAATGTGATGAGTTCCTTATAACAGAATATCAGTACTAATCATTTCTTTTAAGATGTTGTTGAATTACTGTGATTTACTCCTCCACGATCTTATCTGTTCGGGATGTAACTAGTCCTGATGTGACTAGTCCTGAGAGCGACAGACTTTGCCTTTTCGATGGTGATGTTAGATTTTCTAATATTCATTTTTTGAATATTTATGGAAAAAATAATGAATGTTCCTATATTTTTTAAAAAAAAAAAAAACAAAAAAAAAAACAAACAAACAAAACAAAATCTCCTATATCACAATAATTCATTAAAAATAAGTATTTTTTTTAAAAAAAAAAAATAACAGTGAATATTACAAAATGATTATTATAAGAGAATGTAAAAACATTCAAAGTATAGAATCAATTTCATACGTAGTATATTTTAGGATAATTTTTAAATAATTTATTATTTTATAAAAAAAAATTGGTAAACATGCCTGATGGATTTAATTACTCGGAGTGGACCGAATCACTAAATCCGGGTAAGAACGTAAATAGCGAATAAATAGGTAAATAATACGATGTCGTAAGGTCGTGGAGACCGTAGATTGCATTATAATAATAGTCGGGCTATTACGACGACAGTTTAGGACAAAATGTGTAAGATAATGATAAGGATCCCTTGTTAGGACAATGTGAGGGGTTTTCATATGCAACAAACCCCCAACCGCTCCCCCTAAACCGGGGGGGTGGTTGGATCTGGAGCTTTGACCGCGTCCTAGCTCGGGACTGCGTCCAAAGCGCGCCCGCGCCCCCCTAAAACTCCGAGCTCGGCCTGGCCGAGCTCGTTAGGGGGCGACTCGGCCTAGCCGAACCCTTTGAGGCCCGAGCTCGTTAGGGGCGACTCGGCCTAGCCGAGCCCTTTGAGGCCCGAGCTCGGCCTGGCCGAGCTCATTACGGCCTAAGCCCGGCGGCCCCGGCCTATGGCTGAGCTCCTTGGGCCGAGGTGACCACGGTCCCAAGTGCCTTGGCTGAGGTATCCCGGGTTTGTGGTGCCTTGGGCCGAGGTGTCCCGGGTCCGTGGTATCTTGGGCCGAGGTGTCCCGGGTCTGTGGTGCCTTGGGCCGAGGTGTCCTGGGTCCGTGATGCCTTGGGCTGAGGTGTTCCGGGTATGTCGCCTTGGGTTGGTTCGCTCCGAGCATAATATATCCATCAATGCCTTAGCTTCAAATCATTATTCAAAAGAAAATTATTTTGTGGACTCCTATTTTATACTCTCAAGTTCTACACACTCCAACAAATTCTTAATGCAGACACTTATTTGTAGACCGATATGATAAAAATAATATATCATTGTTTGTCACATCAAGAAATAGGAGTAAAAGAGTAAAATTTGAAAGTAAGCATATTAGAACTCTATTCAAAATTCGTACTTTGAGGTAGGTGATGATGTGAGATGTGAAGTGGGAACTTGAAAAATATTATAGAAAATCCTTTAATTTTTTTATTTTTTTTTTATTTTTTTGCCTTTTAAAATCAAAATCCGTATAATAATAGCTGGGCCAGGGTAATAAGGTTCCCATTTTTATTGTGCTATAATTTTAAAAAAAATGAAAATAAAAAATTTGGTTTTAATACATAATTGTCAACATGAGGGAGGTGAGATCTGACGATCTGAGAAGGAGCGATCGGAAAGAGAAAAGAAGAATTTTATGAAATTATTCCACTTTCAGTCGTTTATTTATGACAGTATTTTTATTTTTGACCCTAAATTTTAATTTATTATACTTTTAGTCTTGTATTTTTAAAAATATCTCACTTTTAACACAACAACTTATTCATAATATTCTCCAATTTGGGATGATGAAGTTTCGTGAATATTTTACAAAGTAAAGACATTTTAGACTAAATATGAAATATTTTTTTTATAGTCAATCTATAAATGAAACAAATCGAAATTGAGAACTGGAGGTTAAATATTATTAGTATAGTTAAAAAAAAAAAATGAAATAACATGATTAACCTCATTTATAAAACTTATACCTATGAATCCGTATGATTGCAATAAAATATAAAACTAAATGGTTTTGGTGGTTGTTGGCCAAACCATGATAGGTTGGAAAATGTATATATATTGCTATCTAGCTCACAATGCAAAATGTCATTACCCCCTCTTCTGCTTTCAAACACCATTTTTGGTCAAAAGAAAAAAAAAAAAAAAAAAAAAAAAAAAAAAAAAAAAAAACAGATTATTCTTCATTTCCTATCCCTAAGGATATAATATGGGAGCCATCGAATTCGACGAGGTAAGACAACATGCAATTGTGTGATTAGATAACATTAATGTTGCAGAGATTATATCTAAAGTGGACAGATTTTTTTTGTACACTAACATTTAGTCATGTCTAATGAATCAAGTTATCGTGATTTACACCTTTTAGAGTTGAGGAAGATAACATTAATGTTTTCACAATTCGCTTTTCTTATATATGTTTTACCATGATCAGAAAGTGTTTGATTCGCTAAATTTCATTCAAAAAGTTATTCTTTATTCTTTGCTTTCTGAAATTGTCGTTTTCATCGTTATTCTTGATTTTTGTGAGTAGGATTCTATATTTTATTCTCTCTCACTATCTTTTTTTTTTTTTTTTCTTTCTTTGCTTTCTGAATTTTGATTGTTTTCCTGTTTTGAAGCCAACGGCGGCGACCGTTGCCGCACCACCGGAAGCAACACCGGAAGCGTTGCTTCCATTAATCGATCATCTAAATGGGAACTTCATCAACATGAAAATCAAAAAGGCTCTGCCGCCGGCGGCGAGGAAGAATATGCAGATCACGGTGGCGGAGCCGCGGTCCAAGGTTGACGAGGCTGACCTCAAATCCACGCTGGACAAGTATCTTGACACCATTTCTCAACGTGTCAATTACCATATAGGTAACACATATATATACACACACATCTTTTGGAAAATTCTACTATAACTTTTTAATCGTATTCAATACTATCATGTATAATGAGCTTATATCAGATATAAATATACTTATTCCCTGAATGAATAATGATATTACTATTACAGTACAAAAATATCACAAGAAAGATTTAAGTAACATTTTTTTTTTTATTCGGGCAGGTTACCCGGTGAACATAGTGTATGAGCACTATGCAACTTTGGCACCATTGATGCGTTACCACTTGAACAACTGCGGTGACCCATTCATGGAGAACACTGTGGATTTCCATTCCAAAGATTTTGAAGTTGGGGTTTTGGATTGGTTTGCTCAGCTCTGGGAAATTGAAAAGGATGAGTATTGGGGTTACATTACAAATGGCGGCACAGAAGGCAATCTTCATGGAATTTTGCTGGGGTTAGTATTATATATAGTAGTGACTTTTTTTTTTTTTTTTTTAAGTCCCCACTAAAAGATTAAATTGATAATTGTATATAACGTACAGGAGAGAGGTACTTCCGGATGGAATACTGTATGCATCAAGAGAGTCACACTATTCAGTGTCCAAGGCTGCCCAGATGTATAGAATGGAATTAGAAGGCATTAACACGATGGTCAATGGAGAAATGGACTATGGTGATTTAAGATCAAAGCTGCTCCTTAACAAGGGAAAACCAGCCATCATCAATGTCACCATTGGTACGTACATTTTTCTTGTTTTTCTAATGTTATTAAAAGTTAAAAGAATTTGAGACGACAACCTCAGTCAAGTTGATCAGATACTTTTCATTTGATAACCACAAAGTCCCAAGTTCCTATCCCAGCCGGAGCCATGAGATCCTCATTAGTCTTCTTAGTTTGAGACAGTCAACTACCTAGGTTGATTTATCCGTTTGTGACAGAATAATCAGATAGAATTTATTCAGTGCACTCTCAGCCTCAGCTGATTATATGTTGCATGCAGGAACAACCTTCAAAGGAGGGATGGATAACATAGATGTGATTATAGAAACACTCCAAGAATGTGGGTATTCGCAGGATGAATTCTACATTCACTGCGACGCAGCGCTGTCGGGTCTCATCCTCCCATTCCTCAAAAACGCGCCGAGAATCAGTTTCAAGAAGCCAATCGGGAGTGTCACCATCTCCGGCCACAAGTTCCTAGGATGTCCGATGCCATGCGGGATCCAAATCACCAGAAAATCCCTCATCCACAACATCTCGCGAAACGTCGAGTACATCGCCTCCGTGGACGCCACCATCTCCGGCAGCCGCAACGGCCTCGCCCCCATTTTACTCTGGTACAGCCTGAGCACCAAGGGCCGCGCCGGCCTCCGGGAAGACGCCGAGCGGTGCGTGGAAACCGCCAAGCGCCTCCGCGACCGCTTCCACCGCGCCGGCATCACCGCCATGCTCAACGAAAACAGCACCACCGTCGTCTTCGAGCGGCCGCAAGACCGCGACTTCGTCCGCCGCTGGCAGCTCTCCTGCGTGAGGGACATGGCGCACGTCATCGTCATGCCCGGCGTCACGGCCGAGGCGCTCGACGCTTTCTTCAACGATCTGGTGGTGCAGAAAAGGGCAGCACCGCCTCGCCACGCTGCCCCGCCGCCCTGCCTTGCAGATGATGTCGGTCCACATAATTGCTACTGTCACCTTCACAAACTTTCTTTTTCTTACCCCTTTTGTTGTTGAGCTATAATAGTGATGCCATTATTGGGTGTGTATTAATAATAATAATAATAATTCGGGCCGGTGTGAGACCCTTAGGGTTAAAGTTTAACCTTTTGGAAGAATAATAATAATGGAATAAATGTATAAGGTTTGTTTCTCTTTATATTTATAATAAATTAATTTTGGCACCAAATTACATGTTTAGTACTGAATATTGTTCTAAAAACTCGACAATTATGAGACCACTCAGGCTCGAATTGAGTAAGTTATTTGCTATTTTTAGGCAATTCAATCACTTCCGACTAACATCCATGTCACTCGATCCCTTATATATGGAATTAATCACCTCCGATCATTTTAGTAGTTCTGAGTTCATTTTGATTCAAAGTCACAATCGAAATCACTTTAAGATAATATAAATAGGGATAGGCAGTTATCAATGACCCCTAGGTTGTTTCTTATAATTCTTCATTGATTTCCACTCCAAGGCCACAACTATTAGTTTTATATCCGCATGTTTTGTTGGAGATAACATTCAAAGGATGTTGTTCTTTTGTTCTTTTGCCTTGCTACTTGTCTCACATTGGTTTCCTAGAGACACCTTTCCCATCATTTAAATGTCACTCCTTTTGAAGTCTTTGAAATGTTTTCAAGGGAGGGAAAGACGGGATTCTCGTGCGTCGCTTGCGCGTAGCAGTGAAAGTTTTACGCGACAATTGTGTTTTTGTCTGAGTTTTTTTGCTACTCTACACATACAGAATTAGTCCGAGTTTTTAGTTTTTTTGCTACTCTACACATACAGAATTAGTCCGAGTTTTTTTTGCTACTCTACACATACAGAATTATTCTACGCACTCAAAACAAAATCTGTGGCCAAGAGTGAAGCGAGTGTGTTAGTGGGCAAACCTGAACGCAAGTTGCGTTCCTCCCTCTGTTTTCTCGGATATTTTGTGGCTGGTACAGGAAAGTCAGGTATTCTCATTACTATAAATACCTGCCTTCCCAGACCTCATTTTTACACTCCAGAAAATAAGCTTTAAGCTCTGTACGTACGTATCTCTCTAAGTGCAAAAGAGTACATGAGCTATTCTGTGTTAGCCAGTCGAAAGCACCCGGATAAAAGACCGCACACTCTCCGACAATACGCTTTTAAGGCAGTGTCCTGCACACGTCACATAAAATTTCTCTTTAATCTTTCCAGCTTATATAAATCATAGCCTATATAAAACCTACGACATTTTCCCAAAAACTAGAACATGTTTCACTTGTGCTACTTTGTGTATTTTTATTATCACGTTTTCGTACAAGAAAAGTGTTGAATCACACAGGGTGATTTGAGCTACTTTCTGTATTTGTATTATTTAATAGTAGCAAATTGTACCATCACCAAGAATAGCACCACCATTATCAAGCACCGGACATTAATTGGATAGAGGTTATATCCACATGTTTAATTTGTGGACAATCATAAGATTCTATTGTTGTATATCACCTTTTGTACTAGAAAAAGGTTGAATTACCCACAAGATCGAATAACATTACCATTATCAAGCACCAAACTCTCTTCTTAGTTTCCTTTGACCATTATCAAGCACCGGGTAGCACTAAATGATACGGCACTCAAGTCAAGATCTTAACTCTACCACAATAGTTAATTTAAGAGTGAAGGTTTATGACTCCAACTTGAGCAGCATTCTCTTGTAGAACTAATGTGGGATCGTATTAGTATATTGTGCATGTTATTGTTACAATATATGTATTTCTATTTTACGAATTCATATTTCTTTAGTGTATTACTTGATTGGTCATTATTAGTTTATCTTACTCCATATTCTTTATCATATTGATTGATTATTAATGTATTTTTTTATATATAATTATATAATACAAATTGATAGTACCCTTATTAGCATTTTTTGGGCACGAGATTCTAATGTTACAACCTAAGCAGTATATAGCTTGTTCAATCAATTTGTCCAACCGACCAACAAATGTCATGCATTTTACGTTATTGTCTGCCTCGTGGGAAAGATCTTAATTAAACATCTCTACGTTTTTTATATTTATTATTTTTATTAATTTGATTTTATATTGTTAAAAATAATAAAATTAAATATAATATATTAGTATAATATATTAGTGTTAGACTAACTGTTATTGTTGTTTACGTGATTGCAATATAAGTGCATGTCGTTATTGTGTCATAATTAATGTGATATATATGTATGTGACAAGTGCCACATCAGTATTTAATATTTTAATGTAAAAATTTTGAATTAAAAAATGGAAAATACTACATGCACTCTCATTTCTTACTCCCAACTTGTACTCACTCTCACAAATTTTTGATGTAGACAGACCCACATGATGAAAATAACCAATCTTTGTTTATTATGTCTTGAAGTACAAGTGAGGGAATCACTATTGGAAATTATGAAATTTCCGACCACCTGAAAGTTATCTTAAATCAAGTCGAAAGTCTTGTTCCGACCACTTTTGGTATCCGAAAAAACTTTTGTTTCTATTTCCGACCACTTTTTACTTTCGACTTGATTTAAGATTACTTTCAGGTGGTCGAAAATTCAATAATTTCTAGTAGTCAGTAAAATGTGAGAGTACATGTAGTAGAACTTTTAAAAAAAAATACTGAATGATAAACGTGTAAAGGATTGAAAGAGTCTCTTTTGCTTAAGGAAAATGATTGAAAGAGTCTCTTTCACATAAATTTTATACTAAAAAAATCACAATTTCAATTTTTTATTGTTGTCAACATTATATCCTCTTAATCGCGTGAGTCCTAAACAATTTATCCTCATAGGATGCGTTTAATTCAAGTAAACTAAATGCCTCAACATTTTTTCTTGGACACGTGATTCTAGTGTAAAGTGTCAAACTGACGGGTTAGTCCGAAGTCCAGTCCATGTCATCTATTTAGTTGGGCCTGGACCAGTTCATTTGCTACAATGCGTAGATTAGAGCTAGCCCGTTTTATATCACGGACAGGATTGAACTTTAATTTTTGGCACCTGGACCGGGTTGGCCTGTACATTTTATATATATATATATATATATATATATATATATATATATATATATATACACTCTAAGTCTCTAATAGAGTATTGGCTCATGAGACTATCACATTAGAAAATGTAATATTGATTTTATGCCTATTAAATTCTTACGTATTATCGTATTTACTATTTAGTTATTTAATTACCTAACTAGAATACTAATTAGTAATTACAATCTTAAAATATTTTAAAGTTAAAATTTTATTTGTTTCAAATTTAAAAAATTACCTTTACTACTTAGTAGTTAGTAGTTGCAATTTGTAAAATTATTCTTATTAATGGTATTACATTATTAATTATTGATTTCTTTATTTTCTTGTAATATTTTTTAAGTTAAATAATTAAAAAAAATATGTGAACTTGTAAAACTAATTTAGAAAGAATATATACCTTAAATTATTCTATATATATATATATATATATATATATATATATATATATATATATATACTTTTTAATATATTTTTTTATCTTTAGGGCCATGGACAGGACCGATCTGATCCAAAAATAAACAAGCTAGTGGCAGGGCAGACAGGGCCAGTCCAAGCCCACCCGATTGACACATCTATTCTAATGGTTATAATCGAGGCCGTGTACAACTTCTTCAATTATTGTCCAACTGACTTTGCTCATTATTACATGGACCATGATCCACCCACACAGCTGTGTGGACCATAAATAAAAAGAAATTACATTTTTATTATACTAAAAGTAAATTATTTTTGTACATAAAGTACATTTTCTGAAAATACATTATTTGAGTATTGAAAATACATTATTTTATATATACTAACAAATTAGGGGTGTCAAAGTGGGCCGAAACCGGCGGGTTAGCCCGCACCCGCCCCACGATGGGGCGGGTTAGGACCGCAAGAAATTAGGCTCGCGAAAATGCGGGCATAACGGGCATGGCCCGAGGAGGGCCAGAGCCCGCACAAGCAAATCCGCGCGGGTTGCGGGCCGACCCGCGGGCCACGCCATATTTAAAAAAATAAATAAATAAATTATATATATAATATTTAAAAAAAAAAAAAAACCTATAATATCTTAATTCTTAGGCAGTGTGTAGATCTGACTATCTAAGAGTACGCAGAAGGAGAGAAATCCAATAATTCAATAATCCTTCGCCAATTCTTAATTCAATAATTCCTAGAGTACGTACTTCTTCTGTTCTCCCGTCTCCATCCGCCTCCAACTCTATCAAACAATTACTAAAACTAAATCATCAATTCATACATATTTATGAATTACTAAATTGCCTCCAAGTCCACCAAACATACATATTTCAAGCGGTTTTAACATGTTTATATACTATTTAATATATTTTTTTTAATTTAAGTGATGGCCCGCGGGCCAGCCCGAAAGACCCGCAAGCCCGCATGGGGCGAGCTTGGTCTGTATAGTTCCAATCCCGCGGGCTTCGCGGGCCGGCCCGCAAAAGCCCGCCAAATAAAAAGCCCACGGTGGGGCGGGCCTAATGAGGCAGGCCGGCCCGCATTGACACCCCTATATCAAATAATGTATATTCAATACACAAATAATGTAATTTTAGTATGTTACAAATATACTTAATAATCATGGTCCACACAATAATTTGCCACGACCTCATGGGAATTTAAACTATTTAATAGAAGATTTCTATTTTTTTTTAATTTATCTACTTGGTTTTAATTAATTTGATTATTATATTTTAAACTAATATAAAATTAAAGATAATAATTAGTTATAAAAAAAGATAATAATTAGTATAATGTTAATTAATTCGATAAATGATTGGAAGTCTTTTTTTTAGTACTATTGACTCTATTGCAATGTAGTATCTGTTTTATACTTTCTCTATATATTGCAATCCAAAAAGTCAATATCCACCACTGGAGTTCGATCATGTAACCTTCTCTCAATACACATGTTCTAATGAATTATTTCCCTTTAAATAGTAGAGGATATAGGAATAGAATTACATAATTTTAAACAATATTCTTTTAACCCAATTGTTGGTAACTAGATGATTAATAATGCAACTATAAGACAATAGTCGACTTTAATATAATACTAGATGTACACATAAAAACAAAAACAAAAAG